TGGTTCAGCCATTCCTCTTTCTCTGTATCTGTGTCTCATTTTAAAGCATCTACATTTTATTCTAACTGTAACTTATTTTGGTGTATATTATGAAATGGATCTATTGGCTATTTTTAAAAGTAGTGTGGACTGACATGTGTTTCTCACTGCTTTGTAATTCTAACTTCAGTGGTTTTTACTTTACTCCCTCCCTTTTTTCCCCTTATTCCATCAACAGTGTGCTCTTTGACTTATTTTGCTCTCTTGCTTCCCATTGGGATTTTCTGGGTTTTTGAAAATACTCAATTTTACTCTCTTTAAACCAGTCTTGACTTTATTTCCTTGAGTTTCTTTTGCTACTCAGGTTTGTAAAGTTCCATCTGCTGTTGTCACTGTTAAGAGCCAAGATTAAGGTAAGACAAGCAAGAGGGCAAAATTCTAGGTTCCAACCCCTTCCCTTTGTCTGCAAGTGTGGTGCTGGCATCTGTGAGACGTGGCTTTCTCAAGCTTTGTCCCCAGGGGGTCTGGGCTCTCCCTGTAGTCCTAGCTTCTCATACTTATCACTGGTATGCATTTCTTAAAACCTGGCTTTTGTCCCAAATAGGCTGCATTTGTTAAAAATTGAGCAACTACTGTACACTATACATTGTGCTAGGTTTTGGGAATACAAATGGATCTCGAAGACCCATTTCTTTAGATATACTTTCTCAGGTCTAGGACCTTTTTTTCCGTTCCTTGTCATGCCTGCCTTTTTAAACCATGTGACATGTTGACCACCACTGCCTTTTTGTCTTAGCCCAGCCCAGTGCTTCAGAACTCCTAGCTGTTCCCAGGTGAGACTCCTCTTCTGCAGCCAGTAGGCAGTGGGGTTGTGTATCAGTGATCCTCACTTCAGAAGTTGGTGAGGATTGGAAATTGCCTTGTTCTTCAATGTGTCAGGGGAGAAGTGCTGAGGCTTTCTCTGGGATTGATGACCTTCACGACTATGTCACAGGGAAGACGAATGTGCCTGTTTGGTCATTTTCTGCTTAGCATCTTGCATCACTAAGGATCTTTCCGGTTAACTTTCAGGGCACCCAAAGTGAGCCTTAACTTTCTGCCTGATTTATCCTTACCAACTTTGTTGCCTGGGTCTTGTGTTCTTTTCCATTATTTGTTGACTTGTTTTGAACATGGCTTCCCTGATGACCTGTGGTATGCTCAGTGCTTCTGACAGAGATCCTCTCCTCTGTCCATGTGAGGAGCAGCTGTTGAGTGTCTCTTCTGTCCTGAGCACAGTGGGAGTTCTGGAGGTTACAAAGATGAACCATCTAAATGCGCCTTATCTTCGTGAGCTGGAGATGATAAGGTAGACATCACAAACTGCAACATCTGCACATGGAAGAGAGGCACAGGTACTGCCAACCTAGGGACATGTGACTCACAGTCTCTGTGCCCCCACCTCACTTCTCTGGCAGTGACTCCACTCAGGTTTGAATTCATCCTTGCTGGGTAGTAAGTACCCTGTTCTCAGTTCTGGCTTCTCTTTTGGGATTGTTGGCGGTTTGCCCCAAGCCTTCACCTTATGCTGCGCAGCTGCTGGTTGTGTTCTCACTCCTCACTGGAGCAAACCTTGATGATCTATACTTTGGAAACTCTTTTTCCCCTTGTTTTCTTTTTTCCTTTTGAGGGGAAAGTGCTTTAAATCATTTATTTCACTGTAATGCCATAGATTACCTTGCATTTATTTTCATACAGCTTTTTCTCATGGTGACTTAAAGGAGCTCTCTTCAGTCAAATTATATATAT